GTAGTGTATACACTTCTCCCAGCGTTCCTGCCATTGCTGGAAACACTGCTGGAACGCATCTTTTGGAATGGCCATCAGCCGGTCCGTCGCATTCCGCACGATGTTTTCTCTCGACTAAAATCGGGTTCTTTTTAGCGGCATTTTCAGCTTGGGAAATGGCCAAAGGTCACACGGAGCCATGTGGGGAGAGTACGGAGCGTGACGAACCACAGGAGTGTTGTGTTTGGCGACGAAAGCCCGAATCAGATGCGCAGAATGGGCGGATGCGTTATCACGATGGAGTTGCCAAGTTTTGATCGACCACAGATCCGGTCGTTTGCGTCGCACAGCGTCGAAAAGACGACGAAGGACCTCCTGGTAGTACTCCTTTGCAATGGTTCGGCCTCGTGGTGCGTACTCATGGTACACCACCCCACGAGAGTCGAAAAAACTGTCAACATGACCTTCATATTGCTGCGGGCCTGCCGCGCGTTTTTTGGCCTCGAGGATCGTCCCCGAAAGCCTGCTGAATCTTGCGAATGGTTTACGCTCGGGTATCGCCAAGGTTTTTGGCAAAATTTGATGTAATATCGCTGCTCACGTTGTTCAGTCATTTTCCAACTTACAAGTTAGTGGAATCCGACGAGAGCTCGCTACATGACCTCACTCACAGGCCGACTGACAACGACTGACGTTTCCTGCAGGCGGAAAAAATTCAGGGCTGTGCATGACTGTCCCCTCCACAACTCCATCAAAAGAGGCCTCCGCGCATCATTGGTTTACGCGGAAAAAATAAAAGTCCGATACTTTTTGAACAGACCTTGTATATGGGCAAAATGAGCAAAGATTGGTTTTGGGCTCCTTGTCGGTGGATGCCCTCAAACCAATCTTTCACAAGAAAATATCTTTCCTCTCAAAAAAATTGTTTGAAGTCAAGCTTTGCGCAGAGGCGATATCGTTACTAATGAGGTTTGAGCCGAAGTGCGATTATTGCTAGTTGAAAATTGTTTGAAGTCAACACTGTAGGTCTACATGGGACCTCTGCATTCAAATTTGCGGTCTCTTGAAGCTACCGAGTATAACGTGCCATTGGTAGATACTGTATTTTACAAGGAGAATTCTCAGGGTTTGTGTATTTAAATACATTTGTATTATTTTATTCGTCATGTTGAACAAATGTCTGCGAAATATAATTACCACTAAATTTTCAAAATGACAAATTTATAGAATAAATCTTTGATGGATGATTAATACAGAGTCCAGCTTAAGTATCCTCATAAAGGTGAAGGCATGCACTTAAATCTATCAAATGCTGCCTTTTCTAACTTTTCTCTATCATCCGGATGAGCAATTCGAATTAATTCGTAAGCTCTGTGTCTTAGAGTCTTGCCAAAAAGATTAGCAATTCCATATTCTGTAACTACGTAATGGACGTGGCCACGCGTGGACACAACTGCCGATCCTGAAAATTTCATCAATTTACTGGAAAATCTTTCTAAATGTCTTTAATCTTAAATATTTTTTGGTCTTCTACTTACCAGGTTTTAAATGAGGTACGATTTTGGCCTGTCCTTTATTAGTCCTCGAATGTAAAACGATTATGGGCTTTCCCTTTCTGTCTAAACTTTCAGCAGTTCCTCTTAAAAAGTCTACCTGACCTCCTAATCCTAGGTAGAAAGGTCGAAATATCACTTAAAATTCTACAGGACCTCATAGAAATACAAGAATACATATACAACAAAAAAAAAAATAAAACAAAAAAATTATGAAATAAAATCTAAGTTTACTAGTGTCGAGCGAAGCGCGAACTCACGACCGAACTCCTACTGTTTAAAATACGAAGACCGCTTGGCCACTGGTGGGCCCATTCTGTTTCGTAAGTTGTACTTTTGACAATGTTTCCACATCACCTTTCATCTTTGTTTAACATTTATGAGCGAGAAAATTCCTTCAATGTTTTGTACAACTTTATATTATAAAATGTGGCCCACGGGTGGTACTTAGTCGTGGGTTCGCTCCTGACCAATTAGCTGCTTGCGTGGAGTTTTCCGAATTTTATTCGCGTGTCTAACACCTAAATAGGGGCCAACTTCACGTAGAAAATCCTCGCGAGAGCACGCCTCTTGGCGGATCACCCATGCGTTGTATATTACTTTATTCCATCAATCTAATCCATATAAAATTTCATGAAATTTTTGAATAATTCAAAATTCAAATAAATAATGTGAATTATTCAAAGTAACAATTTACCTGAATAGATATAAGATCCAATACAATCAGCTGCAACTTCTCCAGCTAAATCGATCTCGATGCAAGAATTAATGGCCACCATTTTGTGATTTGAAGCGATCACTCCCGTGTTGTTAGTGAAACTGATATCCCTCATCTCTATATTATAATGTAAAATATTGATTATCAATATACTCTATATTAAAATATTCACTATGAAGTAATANATCTCGATGCAAGAATTAATGGCCACCATTTTGTGATTTGAAGCGATCACTCCCGTGTTGTTAGTGAAACTGATATCCCTCATCTCTATATTATAATGTAAAATATTGATTATCAATATACTCTATATTAAAATATTCACTATGAAGTAATATATTGGTTTGATAGATAGCCAAGGCGTTTGAGGTGTCAGCTTATCGCTCTGAGAATTGGCCCATCGGTGGCCGAGTGATAAAACTATGGAACAATGGAGTTCGAGCCTCACCAACAGGCTGATTACATGAAGTTTTCCGGGTTTTAACACTAAAATAAGGGTAGTTTTCCATTGAAAAAGTTCCCCTCGAGTCACGTCGCCATTACAAATCCGGATATCACTGAGAGTTAGACTGACGCCTAAACCACCGCAGCAAATCGATATCGATTCATAAAATTAAATATTATTTAACCCACTTACCGATAGATATATTATTGTTTAGAAATTCGTAAAGTTTTTTAGTTCCTAGAGTAAAAGAAGCGACTATCTTTCCCGGAATGACAGTCTTGTATTCATTAGTAATTACACCAGAATTGAACAAATCAACTAATCCATCACTGAACATTTCAGTATGAATTCCCAAACTGCGATGATGTTTCAGTGAAGCCAGAACGGCATCGGGAATTGATCCAATACCTAAAAATATTGACAATAATTAACAATTCAACGTTCCGGGTTCTTTATTGTATACACATAAAAGCTCCCCGAAACAATACTCACCAGTTTGAAGTGTTGCACCGTCATCTACTAAGTTATCTGCAATCAATTTTCCTATTTTTAAATCCTCCTTGGAGAAGGGTTTCATTTGCAACTCGGGTAGCTCATGATGGCCTTCCACTATAAAATCGAAGCGGTTGACATGGACTTGGCTATCACCGAAGGTTTTAATTTGATGCAAATTGACTTGTGCTATTGCATGGATAATTATAATTACACACGGCTTCGTCAAAAACGTAAATATATAATTCAAAATTATGCAATACCTATAACACATTTGGCTGTTTCTATTGCAGCTCTGGTAGATTCTACGCAACCTCCCAAACTACAGAAACCACGTTCATCC